AGGCTGTGTGCATCCAAGAAGCTCAAGGCTGTGAGCATCCAAGAAGCTCGAAGTTGTGTGCATCCAAGAAGCTCGAGGCTGTGTGCATCCAAGAAGCTGGAGGCTGTGTGCATCCAAGAAGCTGGAGGCTGTGTGCATCCAAGAAGCTGGAGGCTGTGTGCATCCAAGAAGCTGGAGGCTGTGTGCATCCAGGAAGCTGGAGGCTGTGTGCATCCAGGAAGCTGGAGGCTGTGTGCATCCAGGAAGCTGGAGGCTGTGTGCATCCAGGATGCTGGAGGCTGTGTGCATCCAAGAAGCTGGAGGCTGTGTGCATCCAAGAAGTTTGAGGCTGTGTGCATCCAAGAAGCTGAAGGCTGTGTGCATCCAAGAAGCTCGAGGTTGTGTGCATTATCCTCCCTGGTAGACTAACTGATCAATATTTTTGAATGTCAAAGAGGTAAATTGTTTTGCATAGAAATTTGTTGTTTTATATTGTAGGCCTGTAATTTTTAGGAATAACTCACTGAAATCTGTCCAAACAAGAGTCTAGTAAACATCCCGGGTATGATAAAGTTTGAAACACGAAATCATAAATTATAACATAATAAATAATTATAAAAAATCATAATATCATAATAATACATTTAATTCAATAATGTCATCAAAACAAAAACACTGAAATTTGAAACAGAGCACCAAGTTCGCACATTGCTGAGCTCAGCCGCAGAATAGTTTTCAGTGTCTGATGATGAATTTCCCCCACGAATCATTATCACTCAATTCTGCAAGTGGTTCTAATTTACTATCATTGTTCTCTAGCTGGTCTAAAACCGCTTTTGACCTAAAGGGACGCTTTTTGAACGCCATGGACGTTTCTCAGTTTCCAGGCAGAAAGAACAGTAAAAATGAAGGCAGGGCACAGGACAAAGCACTCGGGACAAAATGTATGTGAAATGGTTTGATACAGTAATGTAATTCTAAGAGATTACAGTGTATTGTGTGTATGTCATATTTTTTACTTTTTTTAATCTCCTGTCGGTTCCGCCACCCTGCGTACTGACGCTTGCAGAGAATGGAACCCAGAAGATGGATGCCGGCATCGGCCGGAGGACATGGCCGGAGGACACAGCAGGGGGGACATCGTGAGATCGCAGGGAGGAGAAGCACGGCAACGGAATCCCGAGTGTGGCTTGGGGTTACCGCTTTTGATACTGTAAATTAACCCCGAGCCACACTCGGAATTACCGCCAGTGAGGTTATGGAGCTCAAGGTTGTGTGCTTCCAAGAAGTCCAAGTTTGTGTAAAGGGAATAGCCAGTGGTCAGAGACCAAGCAAGCAGAGGCTCGTCATTTTCATTTGTATTTTGGCTGGAGAAGAACCCCTGTGTGGGAAAGCTCTCAATCACCGGGACCCGCCGGTAATTTCGCCGCCTGGTAATTATCGAGCATCTCCGACGGCGAGGAAGACTGTTTTGTTTACAGTCTTCCTTCCTGTCAGCTCGGGCACACTGCTCTGGATGGCTATGCACATCACAGCCATCCAGAGCAGTGTGCTTACAGTGAAGCACACACCCCCACCCCCTAGTAAAACACTCCCTACATATAGTTAACCCTTTGATCACCTCTTATGTTTACCCCCCTTCCTTCCCAGTGTCATTAGTAGAGTGTCAGTGCTTTTTTTTTAGCACTGAGCACTGTATTGGTGTCACTGGGGATGTCAGTGACACCAAGTTAGTTCCTGCCAGTGTCAGAATGTCCACCGCAGTCCTGCTAAAAGTCACTGATAGCCGCCATTACTAGTAGAGAAATGAAAAATCCCAGTATCTATAACCGCCATTTGTAAACACTATAACTTTCACATAAACCAATTAATTTACACGTATTGGTTTTTTTTTTTAGCAAAGACATGGAGCAGAATACATTTTTGGCCTAAATTTATGATGAAATTTGATTTTTAAAATTTTTTTACTGGACATGTTTAATAGAAAAAAGTCCAAAATATTGTTTTTTCTCAAAATTGTCAGTCTTTTTATAACGCAAAAAATAAAACCGCTCAGGCGATCAAATACCCCCCGAAAGAAATCTCAATTCGTTGGAAAAAAAGGACGTAAATTTCATTTGGGTGCAGTGTTGCATGACCGCACAATTGTCAGTTGAAGAAAGGCAGTGCCGTAATACAAAAATGGCCTGGTCGGGAAGGGGGGTATATCTTCAGGAGGGCAAGTGGTTAATAAACATGGTCTACCAGGCCTTTAAATATTCCTGTTCCTGACTGACATGAACTTACTTGAAAATGTATCAGCAGCATCCAAAACTGAATTGGCATGTGATTTTCCCACCAAGGCTCTAGTTTATGGCCATGTTCCCACTTGGTGTTTCAGACCAGCACTCTATCTCCAGATCTAAGGAGTGGACTCATCTGGCAAGTCCTGATGGCACTCCAACACCTCCTGCTCAGCCTTAAATAGAGAGAGCCAGTGTTCTATCACCTATTTATTAGGCGTACAGTTAACTGCAGGTACAAGTCTATATGTAGTCCACTGCATTGCCCAAACAGCAAGAAAGATATACAGTGAGGAACAGAAGTATTTGAACATCCTGTGATTTTGAAAGTTCTCCCACTTAGAAATCATGGAGGGGTCTGAAATTCACATTGTAGGTGCATTCCCCACTCTGAGAGACAGAATTAAAAAAAAAATTCAGGAAATCACATTGTATGATTTTTAAAGAATTTTATTTGTCTTTTACTGCTGAACATAAGTATTTGAACACCTGAGAAGATCCGTGTTAATATTTGGTACAGAAGCCTTTGTTTGCAATTACAGAGGTCAAACGTTTCCTGTAGTCCTTGACCAGGTTTGCACACATTGCAACAGGGATTTTGGCACACTCCTCCACACAGATCTCCTCTAGATCTGTTAGGTTTCGGGGCTGTCGCTGAGCAACACAGAGTTTCAGCTCCCTCCAAAGATGTTCTATTGGATTTAGGTCTGGAGACTGCCTAGGCCACTCCAGAACCTTGATATGCTTCTTACGGAGCCACTACTTGGTTATCCTGGCTGTGTGCTTCGGGTCGTTGTCATGTTGGAAGACCCAGCCACGACCCATCTTCAATGCTCTGACTGAGGGAAGGAGGTTGTTGCTCAAAATCTCACAATAAATGGCCCCATTCATCCTCTCCTTAATACAGTGCAGTCGTCCTGTCCCCTTCGCAGAAACGCACCCCCAAAGCATGATGTTACCACCCCCCCATGCTTCACAGTAGGGATGGTGTTCTTGGGATGCAACTCATCCTTCTTTTTCCTCCAAACAAGACGAGTGAAGTTTAGACCAAAAAGTTCTACTTTGGTCTCATCTGACCACATGACTTTCTCCCATGCCTCCTCTGAGTCATGCAGATGGTCACTGGCAAACTTTAGATGGGCCTGGACATGTGATGACTTGAGCAGGGGAACCTTTCATGCAATGCATGATTCAAACCATGACGGCGTAGTGTTCTACCGACAGTGACCTTTGAAACTGTTGTCCCAGCTCTCTTCATGTCATTGACCAGCTCCTCCCTTGGAGTTCTGGGCTGATTCCTCACCTTTCTTATCATCAGTGATACCCCACGAGGTGAGATCTTGCATGGAGCCCCAGTCCGAGGGAGACTGACAGTCGTCTTTAGCCTCTTCCATTTTCTAACAATTGCTCCAACAGTTGATCTATTTTCACCAAGCTGCTTGGCAATTGCCCCGTAGCCCTTTCCAGCCTTGTGGAGGTCAACAATTTTGTCTCTGGTGTCTTTTGACAGCTCTTTGGTCTTGCCCATGGTAGTAGTTGGCCTCTGACTGACTGTGGGGTGGACAGTCAGCCCACAGTCAGTCAGACTGTGTCATTAAAGAGCTCAGACAGGTGCTACTAAGTTAGATTAATGAGTGGAGTAGAGATGGACTTTTTAAAGGCACAGTAACAGGTCTTTGAGAGCCAGAATTCTTGCTGTTTCTTAGGTGTTCAAATACTTATGTTCAGCAGTGCAAGACAAATAAATTCTTTAAAAATCACACAATGTGATTTCCTGAATTTTTTAAAATTCTGTCTCTCACAGTGGGAATGCACCTACAATGTGAATTTCAGACCCCTCCATGATTTCTAAGTGGAGAACTTGCAAAATCGCAGGGTGTTCAAATACTTCTGTTCCTCACTGTATATCCAGTGGCTTTGTGAACTGTTTGGTTATAGACCCAGACCACTTCACCCACACATATTGAGTCCATCAGTCCCAATGTTCTTGTTCTAGTGTGTAAATCATGTCCAAAAGTTGAAGAGTTCACATACACCGTTCCCTTGTGGGTGATATGGAATGGTATGTGACTTACAAATGCCATTCAACTGACGCGGCCCTGAGAATATTTGCGATTCAGAATTAGGGAGTCACTCTCTTATTTGGGTCACTCTATTGCTAATCCAGTTATCAGTCATCCTATCTGGAGTATCCTGTAGCCCTGGACCCTCCTCCCTGTATTTGAGTGCTGCAATAAAAAAATAAAAAGACCCTGGCCTGATTTTGGCCAGAGGAAGTGGCACTGTGCTGTTTGGACCAGGTATAGGGCAGGTAACCACAGAACTTATAGAAGAACCCAATTATTTTCAGGAAGGGAAAATGTCAACAGCACACCAAGGATCACCAATATTGGCCCAAATGTTTTAATGAACGATCACATAGTTAAAGCAAGGCAACATTTCCTGATGAAGGGGTCCTGCGAGACTCCGAAACGTTGCCTTGCTGTAACTATGTGATCATTCATTAAAACTTTTGGACCCATATTGGTGATCCTCAGTGTGCTGGTGACATTTTCCCATGCTGATTCTGTTCGGTTCCAGACAACAGTCGCTGCAGCACCCATTTATACACACAGCCATTTCTAACGCAGGAACGTGTGCGTTTGGATTGTACACTTGCAATTATTTTCAGGGGAACCCTTAGAAGTCATTGAGATATATATATATATATAAACTATACTATTAGTAGAAAACTCTTACCTGTGGGTACCTGTAGAGTCCAGTTATACTGGCTATGGAAATTGTTGAAGAAAAGAGTCTGTTGCCAACAATTCCTAGCAGTTTACTATTTTTGTAGCAGTTATAATTTGGAACCATCTTCTCTGTTCCTGATATAATATTGAGCGCATTCTGCACAGCCGTGTGTTGCATTTCACAGGAATCATAGATGGCATATCCCAGAGTCATGTTTGGCAAGATATCAGATCTGTTATTTATTTCCTCTGCAGCAAACATGAAGATCAGGAGCTGCTGGAGGAACTGTGGTGATGGTCTGCAAGAAATAATATATATGAGGTTAATTCGGATCTTCCTAAATGGTTCAATATCAATTTTTGTCAGCAGCTGGAAAGGGATGAAATTCAGATATGTGGTGAATTTATGTGGTTAAAAGTCACATTAATTAAGTGAATTTTGGGCAACATTATTGAGGGAGAATGTTGTCTTTCATCAAAATTGCTCTATGTACTCTTTGACATTGAGGGAAGCAATAAAACTTTTTGCTTATTAAATCATAATAATGGAAAATATGTATTCAATAAACATGCTGTCAGCATGGGGGAACTGCATGCTGTCAGATAAAACTATATGTTTACTTGGTAGTTGTGTCAGTTACCTCTCTTAAGGCCAAAGAGCAGCCCACCTCTCCAGGCCTCACACCAGAGACCAGTTAATCCACTGCACAGCTTGGTGTCATTTGCAAAGACTGAAATGGGATTTTTAATCTCAGACCCTATATCGTTTATAAGTACAGTGGGGCAAAAAAGTATTTAGTCAGCCACCAATTGTGCAAGTTCTCCCACTTACAAAGATGAGAGAGGCCTGTAATTGGCATCATAGGTAGACCTCACCTATGAGAGACAAAATGAGAAAAAAAAATCCAGACAATCACATTGGCTGATTTGGAAAGAATTTATTTGCAAATTATGGTGGAAAATAAGTATTTGGTCAATATCAAAAGTTCATCTCAATACTTTGTTATATATCCTTTGTTGGCAATGACAGAGGTCAAACGTTTCCTGTAAGTCTTCACAAGGTTGGCACACACTGTTGCTTGTATGTTGGCCCATTCCTCCATGCAGATCTCCTCTAGAGCAGTGATGTTTTGGGGCTGTCACTGGGCAACATGGACTTTCAACTCCCTCCAAAGGTTTTCTATGGGGTTGAGATCTGGAGACTGGCTAGACCACTCCAGGACCTTGAAATGCTTCTTACGAAGCCACTCCTTCGTTGCCCGGGCGGTATGTTTGGGATCATTGTCATGTTGGAAGACCCAGCCACGTTTCATCTTCAATGCCCTTGCTGATGGAAGGAGGTTTGCACTCAAAATATCATGATACATGGCCCCATTCATTCTGTCCTGTACATGGATCAGTCGTCCTGGTCCCTTTGCGGAGAAACAGCCCTAAAGCATGATGCTGCCACCCCCATGCTTCACAGTAGGTATGGTGTTCTTTGGATGCAACTCCACATTCTCTCTCCTCCAAACACGACGAGTTGTGTTGCTAACAACCAGTTCTATTTTGGTTTCATCTGACCATATGACATTCCCCCAATCCTCTTCTGGATCATCCAAATGCTCTCTAGCAAACTTCAGGCGGGCCCGGACATGTACTGGTTTAAGCAGGGCGACACGTCTGGCACTGCAGGATCTGAGTCCCTGGCGGCGTAGTGTGTTACTGATGGTAGCCTTTGTTACGTTGGTCCCAGCTCTCTGCAGGTCATTCACTAGGTCCCGCCGTGTGGTCCTGGGATTTTTGCTCACTGTTCTTGTGATCATTTTGACCCCACAGGGTGAGATCTTGCATGGAGCCCAAGATCGAGGGAGATTATCAGTGGTCTTGTATGTCTTCCACTTTCTAATTATTGCTCCCACAGTTGATTTGTTCACACCAAGCTGCTTGCCTATTGCAGATTCAGTCTTCCCAGCCTGGTGCAGGTCTACAATTTTGTTTCTGGTGTCCTTCGACAGCTCTTTGGTCTTCACCATAGTGGAGTTTGGAGTGTGGCTGTTTGAGGTTGTGGACAGGTGTCTTTATACTGATACCAAGTTCAAACAGGTGCCATTGATACAGGTAATGAGTGCAGGACAGAGGAGCCTCTTAAAGAAGAAGGTACAGGTCTGTGAGAGCCAGAAATCTTGCTTGTTTGTAGGTGACCAAATACTTATTTTCCACCATAATTTGCAAATAAATTCTTTCCAAATCAGCCAATGTGATTGTCTGGATTTGTTTTCTCATTTTGTCTCTCATAGTTGAGGTCTACCTATGATGCCAATTACAGGCCTCTCTCATCTTTTTAAGTGGGAGAACTTGCACAATTGGTGGCTGACTAAATACTTTTTTGCCCCACTGTATATTAAAAAGTAAGGGTCCCAACACTGAGCCTTGGGGTACACCACTGACACCCCCAGACCATTCAGAGTATTAATCATTAACCACTACTCTTTGAATATGATCAGTTTTCTATCCATTTACATACAGATTTTTCCAAGCCCATAGACTTTCCCTTACACATTAGCCATGTGTAAGAAACTGTGTAAAACATTTTTGCAAAATCCAAGTATACCACGTCCACCGCCACTCCTCTGTCCAAGTATACCACATCCTCCGCCACCCCTCTGTCCAAGTATACCATGTCCACCGTCACCCCTCTGTCCAAGTATACCACGTCCACCGCCACCCCTCTGTCCAAGTATACCACGTCCACCACCACCCCTCTGTCCAAGGTTTTGCTCACCTCCTCATAAAAAGAAATCAGATTTGTTTGACAACTTCTATCTTTCATGAATCTATGCTGTCTGTTGCTTAAAATATTTTTTTCCACCAAGAACTCATCTGTGTGGTCTTTTATTAAACTCTCCAGTATCTTCCCAACTATAGAAGTTACATTAACAGGTCTATAATTACTTGGTAAAGATTTTGACCCCTTTTTAAATATTGGCACCACATTGGCCTTACGCCAATCCAGTGGCACTATGCCAGTCATTAAAGAGTCCCTAAAAAATAGAAACAATGGCTTTAAAATGACAGGGCTCAATTCTTTAAGGACCTGTGGGTGTATGCCATCCAGTCCAGGTGCTTTATTCACCTTTATTCTTTCTAAATATTTTTGGATCATATCAATTGTGAGCCAATGTGGATCATCTGGAGCTGTGTCAATACCATGCCATGCCCATTATGGACAAGAGCTCCCCCATACTCTTTTGTATACACAGAACTGAAGAAGGTATTAAATACATTTGCCTTCTCTTTGTCCCAAGTCACCCCCTCTAGATGATTCTGTAAAGGGCCTACATGCTCGGACCGGACCTTTTTACTATTAATATATTTGAAGAATTTTTGGGGTTGGTCCTGCTATCTTTTGCAATCTGTCATTCATTTTCAATTTTTGTGGCCTTTATTTCCCTTTTGCATATTCTGTTATATTCTTTGTAATGTGTAAACGATGATCGCATTCCTTCATTTTTTATATTTTATAAAAGCTCTTTTCTTATTATCTATAGCTTTTGTAACTTTGGCCGTAAGCCACATAGGTTTGATTTTTAGCCTTTTAAACATGTTGCCCATGGGAATATATTTTGCAGTGTGTTCACATACATTCTTTTTGAAGAACTCCCATACATTCTTTTTGAAGAACTCCCATTTCTGTGTTGTGCTCATCGATATCAATATTCCCTCCCAGTCTAAGTCTTGGAGAGCAGTTCTCAGCCTTGGAAAATTAGGTCTCTTGAAATTGAGCGTTTTTATTTCTCCCTTATGTGCTCGCTGTTTACAGCTAACAATAAATGATATCATGTTATGGTCACTGCTACCCAGATGTTCTTTTATATGGACATTTGTAATAAGCTCTGCATGGTTTGAGAAAACCAGGTCCAGCAGAGCATCATTCCTAGTAAGGGCTTCTATGATCTGTACCATAAAATTGTCCTGTAGTAGGTTTAAAACATTTTGCCCTTTAACTGTTCCTGCAGTACCATTACTCCAGTCAGTTTCTGGGTAGTTAAAATCCCCCATTGTTATCACTGTCCCAGCCCATGCATCCCTTTCGATCTGTTCAAGGAGTTGAGTCTCCACCTCCTCATTAACACTGGGAAGCCTATAACAAACTCCAATGATTACCTTTGAAGTGCAGAAAAAACAGCAAAGGTAGAGCAGGTGTCAGTGTTCCCTGTTTGATAATGCTTGGGACTCTCTCACCCAAGGGACGGCAATTGGCAAATTCTGGTGCTCTACCTCTTTGCGTTGATAAGGCCTCCATACACTCTCCAGTCCCACCTGCAGTGTCCCGTCCGGTCAACTGGCAGATTAACTCTCTCCATGGTGCGGCAAGGTCAGTGATTAGCAGACTCTCCTTGCCTCCTCTCTTTCTCTCTCTCCTCGGTCTGGTCCAGTCCTCCCTCAGTCCATGCACTCCTTTCTCCAGATCTCTCCCCTCTCTTCTAATGGGCTTTCACATATATATGTCTCCGCCTACACACCAGCTCTTCTGGGAAATGTAGTTGCCTACTACATCGTTCCCTAGCAACGTCCTGTGGTTCAGCATACAAGTTCCATGATGCTATACAGAGTGTGAATGTCACTATTCTGCAGGGCACTGCCATTATCTTGTGTTCACATTATCATACTACATCTTATTAGCAGGGTGTTACATACTCATACTCTGTAGCAGGTAACAAGTTAAAGCGGCCATAGATAGATCAAAATTCAGCTGGTTCAGCAGGAACTGGCTGAATTGTGATCCATCGACTTCAGTGCAACCAGTCTGTTGGTTTTTTTTTCATACAATTACTGCCACTGTGTCTAGCCGAAGGCAGTAATCACTGTATTCTGATGCCGGGGAATCCTCCCGCTGTCAGAATATAATAGAGGAGGGCTACCCCTCCACACTGACTGTGTTGATGGGGGAATCAAGAAATTCTCTTTCCTTCAACCCATGGGGGTTTTTTTTTTTTTTTCAAAATTTGTGGACTTTTCCATTTATATAGAAAAAAAAAATTAAAATCCCAGTGGTGAATAAATACCACCAAAATAAAGTTTTGCAAATTGTTATAAGAAAAACACTTTTTTTCAAAATGTTTGGACTTTTCCATTTATATAGAAAAAAAAAATCCCAGTGGTGAATAAACACCACCAAAATAAAGTTTTATCTGTCTCAAAATAAATGCTAAAAAATTCATATTGGTTCAGTGTTGCATGACCGTGCAA